GGAAAGAGCCTCTATTTTTGTGGCTTCCTTGGAAAGGAGCAGTGGAGGCTGGGTAAGCAGGTTTAGGATTGGCATGCAGCTCCACACCTGGCACACAGTAGGCGCTTACATAGTGTTTATTGAGTGAATGAACTATCAAACAGCCCCAAATTGGAGTTCAGTGAGAATTCAGTGACATCACTGTCATCTCTGATGGCCCTGACACAGCTGCTTGCTGTGTCTGTCACCCCTGGCCTTGCACTTGGCTGGCATAAAGGATGCTCAGAAGCCAGGTGTGGTGGTGCATGCCAGGTAGGTGCTTGTGCTACTGAGCTTTATCCCCAGCCCTGGTGCATGCCTATAATCTCAACACTCTGGGAGGCTGAGGCAGGAGGATTGCAACTTTGAGCCCAGGCAGCTTGATGACTTAGGGAGACTATCTCAAAATGGAAATAATTTATAAAAGGGCTGGAGATATAGCCCAGCATGAAGGCCTTGGGTTCAATCCCAAGTATTACAGAGAGAAAGGGAGAGAGAGAGAGGCTTAGAAAAACCTGTGTACAAAGGAAAGCAGAGCTCAGCATCTTCAAAAAGTGACCCAGGGCCCTACGGGACCCTTCTGTTTGCTTCAGCCCCAGATAAAAGGGCCAGCATCAGCATTGAGCAGGGGCATGAGAAATGCAAGGGCGGAGGCCAATACCAGGACCAGTGCCTCTAGTCTGAGGCCCTCTGCGTGGCCGTGGCCCCCAACCATGGCCGCTGCTGCCACTGCCCCCCCTGGAGTAGACAGGCGGCTGGTCAGCCCCTCAACCTGGCCTTCCAGGAGACCGCAGGGCCAACCACATGCGGGACACAGTGAAAGGCGCCACACAGGAACTGTTCATAAGCCACATCCTGGAACACTAGGCCAGAGGCTCGCAAAGCATCCTGTTGGAACCCTTTTCCTTCCCTCCTCCAGTTGCTAGGCAACCCCTGTGCATCTGGACCAAAGCAAGAAGCAGCTGGTGTAAGGGCACACATAGACCAAAAGTGAAGGGAGGGAAAAGGACAGCCCTCGCAAATGGGAAGGACAAGATAGCAGAGGTAGCTCCAACTGCCTCAGATAACACAGACTTCAAATCAGATGCTGGTAAAGAGGCCAAGAAGATTATTATCTAGTGATAAAGGGGTTAGTTCACCAGGAAGATGTAGCAATGGGAAATATAGCTACACCCAACATCAAAACACTTAAATATATAAAGAAAACACTTTAAAAATGTTTTTATCAGGGGCTGGGGATTTAGCTCAGTGGCATAAGTGCCTGCCTGGTAAGTGCAAGGTCGTGAGTTCGATCCCCGGTACCGCAAAAAAAAAAGAAAAAAAAAGATACAGTTCTTCGGGGCTGGGGATTTAGCTCAGTGGCCAAGCGCCTGCCTGACAAGCGCAAGGTCGTGAGTTTGGTTCCCGGTACCGGAGAAAAATAAAAAAATAAAAATGTTTTTATCAGCACATGTTTGCAGTATATAATGTTTACACTCCTGTGGGGAGTTGGTCTTTGGATACAACACATCTTCTTCCTGTTTCCATCTCCTTCCCCTGTCCTCCCTCCCCCTCCCTCCAACTCTTGATTCCCTTCCCATTTGTGAAAGGTCTATCTTCCTTCTTCCCATTACCTATCTTTTATTGTGCTCATTATACATTGGGTTTCTCATCTAAGAACAACCATTCGATATTTAAGCTTGTGTGTCTGATTTACGTCACAACATTATGGTCTCAAGGTGCATCCATTTTCTTTTCTTTTTTTTTCATCCATTTTCTTACATATGACTCAAGTTTACCCTTCTTTACAGCAGAGTAGTACTCCATCCCATGTAAATACATCTCCTTTATCCATTCACCTATTGATGGGTCCATAGGCCACTTCCATGGTTTTGCTGTTGTAACTTGCAACTATAAACATGGCCATGCACAGGTCACTGTAATATGATGACTTTAATCAGGAAGATACCTAGAGGGGAATAGCTTGGTCAAGTGGAATTTCTAGTTTTAGTTCTTTGAGGAATCTCAGCAAATATTAATAGAACTAAAAGGAGAGAGAGGCTCCTACGCAATAATAGCAGGGCACTTCAATACCCCACTTTCTGCAGTGGACAGATGGTACAGACAGGAAATCAGTGTGCAAACATTAGACCCGAACCACTCTGTAGTCCGAATGGACTCACAAACACACAGCCAGCATTCCAGCTGCAGAGCACACGTTCCTTTCCAGTGCCCGATAGCTGTTCTCTAGGGAGGGTCCTGTGTTAGGCACAAAACAAGTCTCAGCAAATTTAAGAAGGGTGAAATATGATTAAATATCTTTCCCAACCAGCACGGGATGAAACTAGGGGAACTTTCAGAAAATTCACAAGTCTGTAGGAAATAAGCAACACACTCCTCAATAATCAGTGAACTACATAACCTGACTCTGTCTCAGCAAACCCCCTCAACATGAAGGGAATATAAACAGGTTAAATGACCTGCCCTCCCCGGCCCTCTGTGTCTTCCTTTAGGGCTGGATCTTCCACCTGTGGGCACGGACTAGAGGTGCCCTCCAAGGGCCCAGGGTATCACCCAGCCGCTGCCACCTTCTGCGGGAGACAGCTGGCCCAGCATGTGCACAGAGCAGCCCTGTCGCCTTTCAGTCCTGCGTGCTCTGCGCTGGGGTCAGTCCCCGAGCTTGTCTGAGTGGCAGCTTCAGACCCCCACAACCGCGCCATCGCCGGAACTGGTGACTGGAAGCCGGAAGGGCAGGCGACCCTGCACCCACCCGGGCTGCTCGCATTTCACACTGGCAGGCAAGAAGCGCAGGCTCCCCTGCTTCAGACCTGACCGTGCGGCTCAGGCTCCCACACTTACAACCACGGTCCTCAGGACTCCATGCTTTAAAAAAGTGTTTATTAGTACGCGCAGCGGTACGTAATGATGACATTCCTCGTGGGAGGTGGTGCTTGTATGTAACGCATCTTAATTCTCATTAAGTCCCCACCTCCTCCAGCCCCCCACATCTCTTGGTCTCCTTCCTGCTCTCAAACGATCTATCTTCCTGTCTCCTATTAGTTTTTCTTTTCTTTTTTTTGGTGGGGGGGACAGGCTGTCTTTGAACTCACTTTGTAGCCCAGGATGGCCTTGAACTGGCTTCGACCAGGGCTGAGACTACAGGCATGCGCCACCGTGCTCGGCAGTTTTTTTACGTTGGGTTTCTCATGTAAGATAAACCATGTGATATTCAAGCTTGTGTGTCTGATTTATTTCATTTAACTTTATGGTCTCAAGGTGCATCCACTTTCCCACGGATGGCTCACTCTTTAGCTCAGGTCCTGGTCTCCTTGAGCATCCCGTCTCCCGCTGGGACACCTGGGTCCCCAGCGCACATCTCTTGCAAACTCTGCACCCTGGTCCCCCCAACCCCCAGGCCCCCTTGCGAGACCCTTCCTCCCAAGAAGGCTGCTGGTGGGACCAACCCTGTAGGGCAGGGCAGGGAGATGAGCTCCCACCAAGGTCACCTGGGCAGATAGGGGGTCAGTGAGCCGCAGCCCGTGGCCCGCCACGCCGCGTCCCCACGCCCGCAACCACGCGAATCCGAGTCGGCCCAGCCTCGCCCATCCGAAGCAGGAGACCGAGGAAAGTGAATAGCTCGGAGCACAAGCTGGGCGATCACAAGCCCGCCCACAGGTAAGCCCCGCCTCTGCGCTAAGCGCCATTGATGAAACCTGGAGGCTGCTATAAGCCCCTCCCACACCACCCTCAGCCTGGTGCCATTCAACAGGCTCCACCCACTAGCCCCGTCCCGGGCCCAGGGCCATTCCCTAAAGCCCCGCCCGGGCATAAGCCCCGCCCACTCCTTCCCCGCATCCTCCCCTCTAAGCAGAGCCCCGGCGATGAGTCCTGGCCCGGAGGTTTAGAGTGTAACCATTATTAGACTAGCTCTCTTTCGGAGGTAGCTACAGATAGGGGCGATCCAAAGTTAACAGCAGGCCTGGGGATGTGGCTCAGCAGTAGAGCATGCGCCGAGGCCTAGGTTCCATCCCCAGCACTGCAAAAAGAAAAAGAAAAAAGAGAGGCAAAAGGAATCAGTGGTTTATGCCTGTAATCCAAACTCGGGAGCCGAGGCAGGAGAATCGTGAGTTCGAGGCCAGCCTGGGCAACATTGCTCAGGGTCTCAGGGAAAGAAGAAATAAATGCCTTGTAGATGAATTTTGCTTTACTTCTCCCGGACATGATTAACTGGGGCTTCTGGCTGTACTTTCAAAATGAGTCTTTTTTCTTTATGGTTGCGGTTGTTAATAACAGTTTTACTGGGTTAACTGTCATTATACTACTGGAGAAAATCCATGGGCCGTATCCTCGGCCCATTAAACGTGTGCCATCGGCGATGTTAACAAGGGGGCGCCCTCCCCCATGACCCGGTTTTAGCCTAGGCGACATCCCGCCCCCGGCCCCAGGCCACCAAGCATTTGCTTTCTGTTTCAATGGACTCTCCCGTTCTCAAAACAGGGGTATTTCCGTGCATGATAAATCACTCTATAGCGCAGAAGGAGCGCCGTGAAGTCAGGGACCCAGGAGGACAGGAGGCTTAGAAGCGGGCTAGGAGAGGGGCTGGGGATTTAGCTCAGCGGCAAAGCGCCTGCCTGGCAAGCGCAAGGTCGTGAGTTTGTTTCCTGGTACCAAAAGAAAAACAAAACAAAACAAAACCAAAAAGAAGTGGGCTAGGAGGCAAAGGCTTCCTCTTGGGCTTTAGCAACCTGAGGCTGGTCTGCAGGAAGCCTGTGCCGGCCGGGTGCGGGAGGTTGAGGGAGCTGGAGAAGGTGGAGGCCCTGCAGGGAGACAGTGGGGTGCTGGCCAAGAGGCTTGGGGTGGAAGAGGGGCAGATGCATGGGGAGCCAGCCTTCGAGAGATAGTGGGGGTCAGGACTCGCTTTGTTTGTATAGCAGGGAGAAGTCTGCTATACTCAGGCGTGGAAGGAAGGGGGAGGGGGAAGGGTGGGGCATTGCAGGGTGGGGCCCCAGCCATAAAGGGTGCAGCTCAGCCCCTGCACCCCACAGGCTGTGCACCCCAGCGGGCCCCAGCTCCTGCGACCCCGTGGTCATCGGTGAGTCCTCCCAGGACCATGGCTGGGCCCCACACAGGTCCCCTCTGTCCTTGGGATCCTAGGTGGTGTCACCTACCTCTCTTGCCATGGCCCGGGGGCTGGCTTGGGATGCAGGTGACCCCAGCGCCTGCAGCTGTCCTCCTCAGTCACGGGCACTCTCTCCTCCTCCTCAGGTGGCTCTGTGATCCCTGAGGCCCAGCCTGTGCCATGAGCCCGTGGCTCCTTGCCTGCCTGGTGGCTTCCTTCGCAGGCGCCTGGGTCCCTGCTGTCCACACCCAAGGTACCGTCTTTGGTCCTCCCTCCCCTCCCTGGAGCCCGACCTCCTCATCCCCTCTCCGCATCCTTAGATGTCCCCATTTGTCCCTCCCCCCTTTCAGGAGTCCCTGGCCTGGCAGCAATTCCTAGCGTTTGTTCAGCGGCCGTGGAGGGAGGCAGAGGGTCCCCAGCTCTGTTTCTTGATCCGCCCCCCGCCCCACTTGGCGCTTCTTTATTGCCTGGGAACAGAGCAGAGTCTCTTGGGCCTAGAGACTTGGCCTCCAGCTGTGGTGAAGCCACTTGTAACTGTGTGCACATCGCAGTGTCCCGACTGGGACTGGCCAGAGCCAGGGATGGGGCTGGAGAGCCGAGCTCCTGAGACCTTCGGAAGGGGGGCCACCTCAGGCCCTGTCCCCAGTCCCTGTGCAGCCTGGCTGAGGGTTGCAACTTGGCCTATGGGCCTCAGTTTCCCCATCTGGAGGGTGGGGATGTGAAACTGTCACTGCGTGGAGGAGGCGTGAGGATCCGGTGAACCAATGGCTGCGTGGAGAAGACTGTCCGTTCAGTGCTCAGCACCGGGATAAGAGCTATCACCATATCAGTGAGAGAGCTTTTCCGTCTTCCTCCCCACCCCCACTCCAGAGCAGGATTTAGGTTACCAAGTCAGTTCTAAGCATGCTGTCTGCAAAGGGGAAAGCTGTCGGCTCGTATAACCAGCCAAAGGCTTCAGGCTCAGCTGCATCCAGGGGCTTAAAGGGTGTCTGTCAGGAGCCCGGACATGGGTGCTGCATCCCTGCGGGCCCTGGCAACACCACTGGGTCCCACAGACAGCCTAGCGGGGGCCCTGGCTGGGTGGGGGCCCCACCCTCTGGCCCTGCTGGCCCACCTGCCCCTTTCCTAGGTCCTGCTCCCAGCAGAGCTTAGCCTTTGCCCAGGAGGGAGGCTGGGCTCCATTGTCCTGCTATCAGAGCCAGGCCCAGCCCCTGCCCTTTGATCGGGGGGAAAGTGGCCCTCAGTGCAGAGAGCTACCGTGGAAGCGCTCACAGGTCCTATCTGCCACCTGTCCTCAGGAGCCAAGGTCCAGGCTGCAGGGGGCTGAGCCCCCCTGTTCCGCAGCCTGGCCCCCAGAGGCAGGAGTGGAAGTGAGCTCCAGGAGAGGACAGTGGAGGAGCCCACTTGGCTTCTAATATGCCAGCCGCTCAGCGCCGCTCTGCTCCTTCCTCCCACCTGCTCCTCTTCCTCCCCTCTACCACTGCCACCTCCTCCTTAGGCCAGCCCAGGGCCAGTGTGTACCCCCCGCTTTGCCTAGATCAGCCTCTTGTCTCCCCAGCAGGCCGGGAGTTCCCCTGAGACAGCCCACATGCCCTCCAGGTCCTCAGTGTGCTGTCTGCGTGTCCGGCAGTCATAGGAGCTCTTTAAATGCCTCCATGAGAGTCAGGTGTGGTGGCACACACTTGTCATCTCAACACTCAGGAGGCTGAGGCAGGAGGATTGCTGTGAGTTCGAGACCAGCCTAGGCTACACAGTGAGACCCCATCTTAAAAAAAAAAAAAAAAAGCTATTGCTAGACAGCTAGATAAAAGTACACAGAATTCCCAGGTTTGGCCAGATCACTTGAATGGTCACTGTGGTGGGGACAGGAAGGAGGGGGATTTGAGTTAGACCCAGGTAGGAACAGGGCAGCGTGGAGCTGGGCCTGGACCTCAGGAACAGTTAGCCACCGTGCTTCTTTTCAGGAAGAGGGGGCCATCAGACTGGGGACAGGCGGTCCTCGGCCCCTCCTCAGGGTGCTGGCCTGCCCTCCCTCGCCCTCTGGCCCAGAGCAGGAATAGGAGGCATCTTGGGCTATTCCTCTGGTGGTCCACACCCTTCCTGGGCAGGGCCTGTGGACCCCTCTGGCTTCCGCAGCTGTCCCTGCATCAAGGGGTAAGAGTGAGCCAGGCCAAGTTTTTTTCTTTTCCTTTTTCTTTTTCTTTTTCTTTTTCCTTTTCTCTTTCTTCCTGTCTCTCTCTGCCTCTTTCCCTCCCCCCTCCCCCTGCCTCTCTCCCTCCCTTTCTTCCTTCCAGATTTTGAGATGGTCTCACTATGTAGCCCAGGCTGGCCTTGAACTTACAGCGGTCTTCCCGCCTCAGCCTCCTGAATGTTGGGATGACAGGCCTGTGTTGTCACCATGCCCAGCCCGGGTCAAGTGTTCTTGGCGTCTGCAGGGCCTAGAAGTGTAGCACACGTCTGCATGTTCACACCAATGCCCGTGTCTGTGGCCGTGCCTGCCAAGCGCACGGCTTTGAGTGTGCAAGTGGCGTGTGCCGCAGGTGTCTCGGAGGACTGCTGCCTGGCCTACCACCGCCACCTCAAGTTGCCCGTGTTCCTGCGCGCTAAGTATTTCCAGTGGCAGGAGGTGAGCGGGGGCTGCAATCTGCGAGCTGTGATGTGAGTAGGGTCCCAGGGGGTGGGGTGAGGGTGCCCACGGCCTCGCCCCCCAACTTTGCACCCTAACTTGCCCATCCCCTCTCTCTCTCTCCATAGATTCCACTTGCCCCAGCCGGGCAGGATCGTGTGCGGGAACCCGCGGGACGCGGTGGTGAGGAAGGCGATTCGGGTCTTGAGTGCTCAGATGAAGCCCCACCCAGCAGTCAGCAACACCCCTCCCCCAGGTGGGTGAGGCCCAGCCCTCCGCGGGTGCGGGTGCTGTCGATTCTCTGTCCGCAAGGAGAACATCGCGGCTCCAATGTTGCCATCCCAGAGAGAGCCTGTTGTGGTGAGCAGGAGACAGAGAGAAGGAGCAACCGACTGGGTCAGGATCAGCGGCCAGCAGAGAGAAAGCTCAAACAAAGCCGAAACTCATCCATGCAAATAGCGAGCCCACAGCTTCAGGCTTGGCTGCACCCAGGGGCTCAGAGATGGTGGTGGAATTCTGATTGTTTCTGTCTGCGTCCTCTGACAGGCTTGCACGCTCGGAGGAACAAGGTGAATTCTGGACCGTCCAAGAGGCCTTGGATCAGGTTGAAGCATCACGTGGGCAACAGCAAGAAGAACGCTGGGTAAGGACTCCCGGTCACGTGACCCTCGTTGTCCATCACCTCCTAGGGGTCACCCGCAGCTCCAACCCAGTGCAGGAGGTTTTGGTGAGCCAAAAGCTCCTGGGGTCCAGTGGACGGAAAGAGCATTTTGTTTAGTTCATACCCCACTCAACACGGAGTGAGTACCCGCCCCCTCGCCACCGAGCCGCTCTGCAGCAGGCAATGCCAGGGGTCCCGCAAGCTCGGTCAGTTCTCACAGGCTGGGGTTGCGGCTCCGCGGAGAATGCGTACTGCGCGTGCGCGAGGCCCTGGGCTGCGTCCCCAGCACCAAAAACAAAACAGAAGACTCACGCGAGGTAGCACCAGTTCGCATCCGACTGCCCCCTCCCCACCCAGATGCAACCAGTCTGGGCCTCAGTTTCCCCTTCCGTAAAGAGGAGATGATGATAACTCTGTTTATTCCACAGGGCTGTGGTGACCAGCAAACGAACCAGCAATCAAACGGTGTCTGGTATGTAGCACCTGTTCAGTAAGTTGCCCCCTACACTTCTGACTGACTAGTGATAATCAGGACTCCTGTGATCACCTCCTGGGGCTCTGTTACCCGCTAGAGCAGCTCCAGGACTCGGGGAAACACTTCCTCACACCTACTGGTTTATTGTAAAGGAATTACAAAGGCTTTACAGCCAGATGAAAGACACACTTGATACGGTAAAAGAATTACAGTGTTCACTTTTTTTTCAGTACTGTGGATTGAATACAGGGCCTTTGCACTGAGCTACATCTCCAGCCTTTTCTTTCTTTTCTTTTGTCTCTCTCCTTTCTTTCTTTTTCTTTCCTTTTCTTTTCTTTTTTTGTTTTGTTTTTTTTTTTCCCTGGTAGCAGGAATTGAACTCATGACCTTGCACTTGCCAGGCAGGCACTGTGCCACTGAGCTAAATCCCCAGCCCGCCCTTTCTTTGTCTTTCTTTCTCTCTTTCTTTCTTTCTTTCTTTCTTTCTTTCTTTCTTTCTTTCTTTCTTTCTTTCTTTCTTTCTCTTTCTTCCTTTTCCTTCCTTCCTTCTTCCAAAACTATCTAAGTCATTATGTTACCCAGGCTGGATCTGAACTTGTGATACTCCTGCCTCAGCCTCCCAGAGTGCTGTGATTACAGACACACACCCCCATACCCAGCTTTCATTTATTCATTCACTTATTTATTTAGAGATCGGGTCTCTCTATATTGTCCCAGCTGGTGTTGGCTCACTGTAGAGGGGCTAGGGATTTAGCTCAGTGGTAGAGTACTTGTCTAGCAAGTGTAAGGCCCTGGGTTTGGTCCTCAGCATCAAAAATTTGACAATCAAAGTAAAAAACAAAACAAAACAAAACAAAACAAAAAAACCCAAAAGCAAAAAACAAAACAAAAAACCAAGGGAGCTGCAACTCACTGTGTAGCCCAGGCTGGCCTCCAATTTGCGGTGTTTCTTTTGCGTCCCAACTGCTGGGATTACAGGTGTGTGCTGCTGCACTTGGCCAAATATTTTTTAAAAATTATCACAGTAAAAGCCACATTGCCACTAATCCTCCTGGAAATACGCTCCCTCCTTTTGAACACACCTATCCCATCGTTCTTGCCACTTTGTGAAGCAGCTCTGGAAGTCCTCCTTTGTCGGTGTCCGTAGCTGAGCTGACTCAGTGTCCTGAATTGATTCAGATTTTTCTTTCGTGGTCATTTTGGCCTTGGGGAAGAACCAGGTGTGACAGATCTGGTGAATAAGATGTCCGAGGACACGCTGTGATGTTTTCAGGAGCCTGCCTTTCTGTTGGACATTACTCAAGAGCAGCATTTACTGTATTTTTGGTCATACCTCATAAAGACACTCAAGAAAGAAGACATCCAGAGCTGCTTCAGAAAGTGCCAGAATTGGGGGCTGGGGATTTAGCTCAGCGGCAAAGCGCCTGCCTGGCAAGTGCAAGGTCGTAAGTTCGGTTCCCGGTACCGGAGAAAAACCAAAAAAAAAAAAAGAAAGTGCCAGAAATGATGGGATAAGTGTGTCTGAAGGAAGGGGAGGAATCTGAGTATTCTGAGGGAAATTCACAGCAATATACTTTACCTGTCATAAATATTTTAAAATTTAAACACCAACTGTACATTTTGATTAGCTCTGTGCGTGGAGCAAGGTCAAGGGAATGAATAGATAGATGAAAGAGATACACAGGGCAAAGTCTGCAAGGGTCCCCAGCTCCTGTCCTGTGGAGCAGGGGTGTGCCACCCTCCTGGCACACAGATGGGTTCACCAACCTGGAGACTTCCTGCAACCTGTAGTTGAGGGACTTTTTATGGAGGCTTTATCAAGATGACATGATGGATTATTAACTCCATCTCCAGCAACTTTCCTCCCCATTCCAGAGTGAAACGGAGACCTTCAGGCTTCTAATCACAGCTTGCACTCAGCACTTGCCTCTGAAGAACAGAAGGCAGTGCTCTCCACCCGGAAATTCCAAGGAATTAGGGGCTCCGCGCTAGCAACTGTGGTCAAGGACCAAATGTTAGAACAAAAGATGCTCCTTTTGGCTCAGATTGCAAGGGACTTAGGAGCTCCGTGGTGGGGTGGGGAGAGAGCAGCCACCAGCTCCTCGAATCCCTCTCCTGCAGGACCCTGAGCCCTGACATCTCCAGGACCCTCCCATGGCGCCGGGGGGCTGCGTTGTTCTCCATGACCCTCGGCGGTGGCTGCTGCCCCTGCTCTGCGTCCTTCGGTGTGCGGTGTGCGCTGTCCCAGCCCCTGTGCCTGCGTCATCGTTTTCTCCTCCTGTCCCTCCCTCTTCCCGCCCTCAAGCTGCTGGAAAGAGGGTCAACCGGGACCAGCATCAGTCTCTGGCAGAGACTCTTAAAGAGCACGCCCCCAGCCCGGGTACGCTGCTTACCTGAAACTTCTTGCCACCCGCCCGGGCCACCTACCCAGGTCCCTGCAAAGCTTTGGTTGGTCCAAAGATATTTCCTAGGCTGTACTTTTTTAAAAATAAACCTTTGGGGAGAATGTTGTTTCCCATGCCTGTCATGTTTTATTATGGGGTGCCCATGGTGCCCACCCTCACCCCAAGACCTGTGTTCCCAGCCCTCAGAACAGCTTCCGGGCCCCAGTCTCCATGGGGCTCTTTGATTATCTGTGCATTGGGGTCCTCACTGGGGTTGCTCTGTCCAGCCTCTGGGGTCCTGGGGGTCCAGCTGGCTAAGGGCTGGAGAAATGCTCCCTCCACAAGTGTACGGCCTTCCCAGAGGCCACGGTCAAGACAGTGTCCAGCACTGGGCAGGGACAGAGCCCTTGATCAAGCATTAAAGGAGGCGGCCTCAGTTCCAGGACGCCAGAGAATGTTCTGGGGGGAAACCAAACATACCCTCTTTAAGGGATGCCCAAGGTGGTTTGGGGTTAGGGGCCAGGATGAGGCCTCAAAGAAACAAAAACAAAACACCTCAAGCTCATCCCACACTATAGGGGTGATCCAGACTGCCTCTCCGAATTCTCCAAGCCTCAGCTTCTGTCCCACTGTAAAATGGAGGTGATGGGTACCCGCCTTGGAGCAGTTTGCTGGGGACCAAATATACCAGCACCCATAACACCCTCAGCACGTACATAACACACAGCACACAGTACATGGTGGTGAGCCACGTGGGTGATGGCCCAGCTGCCTGGCTTTCCATTTGCCCTGACCTTCCTTGGCCAAGCCGCTTAACCTCTCAGAGCCTCAGTTTCCCTGTCTGTAAAATGGGAACATAAAACACATCTGTTTCGTGGGATTGTAGTGTGATAATCAAAGAGGTCTACAATCATAAGGCACTTGAAGCGGTGTCTGGTACATAGCATGGGGACCACAAGCTGTCCGAGAAGCTGCCACTTATTGCTTGGCTCTGGGTGTGTGCCAAATGTGAGGGTGACACCGGCAGAACGGATTGATCCCCTGGGATGGTGTTCCCCATGCAGGGGCTACAAAATCCCAAGAGCACTTGCCAAAAGACAGACAGATTTAACCCAAAATAACTTTATTGCTGTCTCCACTTTGGATATAAAAGCACCCCCAGAACCCTAGCCCAGGCCCCAGGAGAATGAGCAGTGAGTCACTGATTTTGGGCGCGCTGGGGCTCCCTTTTCTGCCCGGAGGGACAAGGCCCTCGCCCACCCCAGCCACCTATCCCGATGTCCTGCCAGCCCCTGGTGGGGGGCGGGGAGCCACAGTGCAGTACAGAGGTTTAAGCCTGAGATTGACCAGAGGCCGTGACCACGGGGACCCTCGCTGGCCTGGAATGAAGGAGGCACAGGCAGCGTCTCGATGTCTCCAGGAAAGACGAGTGTTGGGGTTTCCTGGGCTGCCGCAGAGGGCGTGGGCACAGGCTGGGCTCGTCTGAGGTCATAGTGTAGCGTGCCACTCTTCCTGAGTTTCGGGGTTTGACCTGGTCACCCAACGTTGCTGAGGAGCAGTCACCCTAGTTCCAGAATCCACCAGAGCTGGAGCTCCGGCATGCACTGAGGCTCCTCCCAACTAGAGGAGCTGCAATTGCACCTTCAGCCGCAGGGCCCGGCCCTGGGGTCCCTGCCGGATGCCCCAGGCCCCTGCCATGCTCACCACCTCCAGCTGGTACCTTCCAGGCCGCGGCCTCCGCCGCCCCAGCTGCAGGGAGCTGAGGTTGCTGCGGTGCTGCATGCGGAAGAAACTTTGCCCGTTGCCACGGGCGATGACATATCGGACTCGGCCTCCCAGACCCTGCAGAGCTGGCCGCAGCTCCAGGATGTGCTCGGCCTGGCTCAGGCGTGAGAGGTTCAGGCCCAAGGTCAGGGGGACTGCGGCATCGAGGGTGGCCATGCTCACCTGTGGAGAAAGACGGTGGGTGGGGGATGGGAGGCAGGGTGAATGGGGATGCATTTATAGGGTGCTTTGGGCCGTGGCCAGAGATTTCTACTTTCCTAATGCAGAGGAAAGAAAGGTTGCTTTTGTTTTCTGAGAAAAGGTCTCAGTTCAAGCTGGCCTTGAACTCCCAGTGTAGCCCACTGGCCTCGAACTTTTGGGGACCCTCCTGCCTCAGCTGCCCCAGTGCTGGGTTTAGGCAGGAGAAGGGGTCTTCCATGCACTCTGCCCTTGGCTTTTACGTAGCCCTCCACTCACAAGGCCAAGGTTGGTATAGGCTGAGGATGTAAAGGCACAAAGCTGCAGCTGGTTTCAGGGGAAAAGCAGAGAATGGTTGGAAGCAGTCACTCCCCCCCCCCAGGAACAAAACAACCCCAAACCCAAAAATAAACAAACAACAACAACAGAAAAGAAAAAAAAACAGGACCTTTGCATTGAGCTACACACCCAGTCCTTTTTAATTTTTATTTTGCGATAGGATCTCACTGTCACTAAGTTGCCCAGGATATGCTCGAACTTTTGATCCTCCTGCCTCAGCCTACCAGAGTGTTGAGATTATAGGCATGCACCACCATTCCCATCTTAGGCAGCCACATTTACTGATTGATTTTTTTTTTGAGACAGAGTATTTCTATATAGCCCAGGCTGGCCTGGAGCTCGCATTGATCCTCCTGCCTCAGCCTCCTAAATGCTGGGATTACAGGTGTGTGCTACTGTGCCCTGCTTGGGTAGCCACTTTTATACAGTTTCCAGAGTCCTGGTCGCAGCTGAGGGGCCTTGGTAAGACCCCTGCCAGCCGAACCTAAATGAATCAAGGGCTGCCTTAGACATCCTGCAAGGGGGTCATTCTGATGCCAGCCCTGGGTCACTCAGAGGCAGCCCCGAGGGCTGGTGTTAGGATCCAGGGACTTTTTGCAGGAACCAGCCCCCAAAGGGATGCCAGAGCTGCAGAGAGACAAAGAGGACACCCAGCTGGGATAGAGAGAAGGGAGCAGGGCCGGGTGATGGAAGAGCCACGCTGGCTTCCGCTGCACTTCCTGCATCTGGTGCTCTTAGAGAGCCCCTGTGTGTAGGTGACAAACCCTCCTTTATCTGCGTTTCTCTGAAGTGTGTTCCCGGTTCTGGCAGCTGGACAGCGCTCTCAGTAAGCTAGGGAACCACAGTGGCGGGCTGCTCTGGGCCGGTAGACCCAGCCAATCACACAGAAGTTTATCTGTGTTTTCTCCTTTGCCTGGCCCTGCTCTGTGGGTTTCACCTCATTTGCATACCCACTGCCTCATCTGCATACCCATGGACTCATTTGCATGACCATAGGTTCATCTGCATGCCCACCAAGCGCCCTGCAGCTGCATTAAAGTGAAAGCTCTTCTGGCATCCCAGCCCCTGATTCTGGAGAGAGCGGACCCTTCCTGCAGTGTGGGTGGGACATTTGCATCTACTGACACCTGCTGGTGGCAAGTGGGTATTGCAGGCAAATACATAGGGTAGCTCTTTTCTATCAGCCATGATAATCAAGCCACTGCCTTCATTAGCACCCAAGGCAGGGCATACAGTAGTTTTGACGCTCATGGCAAATAACAGGAACTATGGGATGTGACTGACATAATGCCGTTTTTTTCCTAGCAAGAGGTGGAAAAACAACTAGAGAAAAGAGGGTAAAGTAATACATTTGACTGATTAAATATTGAAAGCCCTCCGATCCATCATGTCTATCTCAGTCTGGCTTCATTTATTCTCCTACAATATCTCTCATGGATCATATTTATCATGTGCTATAAAACATAGTACACAACCAGGTGTGGTGGTACGTGCCTGTAATCCCAGCACTCTGGAAGGCTGAGGCAGGAGGATCGTAAGTTTGAGACTCGCCTAAGCAATTTAGCAAGACCTCCTCTTTTTTTTTAAAAAAAAAGAGCTTAAGATAGATTCAATCCTCAGTACCAAAACCAAGCTAAGCCAAAAAATATATATATGTTTTCCTTTTTTTACAATCTTTCCCCATCAGAATATCCACCCAGGAGCAGGAACTTTTTTTTTCTTATGTATTACTGCCTGACCAGGGTCTGTATGAGATGCCTGAATCATCATCTGGAGATGTGAAATGCCCAGGGGACATGTTTCCCAAAGAGTCCCCAAGGGAAATTTCAGGGCTACAGAAGGACAGGGGGACTGATGTACCATGACAGGAGGGACAAACTGGGATATGGAGTCGACTGCCACCTCCTGCACAAAGTATAGCCTTTTTCTTTAGATATTTTTGGTACCATAAATCAAATTCAGGACTTTGTGCTTGCCAGGCAGGCACTGTGCCACTGAGCTATCTCCCCAGTCCACAGATTTTATTTTGAGGTAGGGTCCTGTAACAAATTCCCAGGCTGGTCTTGAACCTAAGATTCTCCTGCCTCAGCCACCTGAATCACTAGGATTGCAGGTATGTTTCACCACACCCAGTTGAGTCTAGTGCTCTTTCAGGGTCACAGCCTCCTTCCTACCTTCAGGGAGTCTCCTGGCTGCCCTTGTCCCATGCAGCCCCTGTGATACCTGGTGGCCCCTGTGGGCACTGCGCCGGGGCCGGTCCCGAGTGGTGAGGCTGTTGATCTTGCATTCATAGCAGGCTTCTGGAGAGAGTGGCTCCTCATCTGGGGCTTCCTGGGGTCCAGGGCTGAAGCCCAAGGCGGAGACACAGTGCCTGGGCCAGGATGATGGGATAGGGAGGGTTTCAGGGGCAGATGGCAGGACCTCCCAGCCAACCTCTACCACCCTCCGCTGTGAGCCAGCTGCCTTGCGGGCAGAAGCTGTTGTGCAAATGTGCCTCTGTGTGTGTGTGTGCGCGTGCATGTGTGTGTGTGAGAGAGAGAGAGGGAGAGAGAGAGAGCTGGCATGGCTCTGTGTGCATGCATATACCCTAGCAGAAGAGCTGTGTGTGTGCATGGGTACCCTGGCTCGCCTGGACATAGGTGTGAACATGAGAATGAGATGGTAGGCATTTCCTGGGAGAAACAAATGTACCTAAGTGTGCCCAGGGTGTGTGCAGGTGGGGACCTGTGTGCACACGGGGAGGATAACATGCAAGTACACATGTGCCACGTATGAATCTATATTCAGGTTTCTGTGTGTACAGGCTCTGCATCCTCCTGTTCAACCACCAAGGATTGAAAACGTTACAAGGTGGGGGGCAGCTCAGCAGTAGAGCTCTTGCCTAGCATATGCAAGGCGCCTGGCATCTCAAGAAAAGTACCACGTCCTTTCAAGGTGTGAGGGCATGCGCCTGCAGTCTCAGCACTCTGGGAGGCTGTACAGGAGGACTGCAAGTTTGAGTCCAGCCTGAGCAATTCGGTGATTTATCAGGACCCAGCCTCAAAATTTTAAACAAACGAAATGAATAAACAAAGAAGGGCTGGAAATGCAGTTCAGTGCAAAGACCTTGGGCTTAATCTCCGTATTGGAAAAAAAAGGTCACAAATTGTTGCTGATGTGTACTTATGGGTCGGCTTACCCTGTCTGTACTGAACATGTACAGACTCTTATTGTTAGTATTTCTTGTTATTATTCCCTAAACAATACATGAGAACAACTATTTACACAGCATATACATTGCACTAGGCATTATCAATAATCTAGAAATAATTTAAATTATCCAGCAGTGCTGGGATTGCAGCTCAGTGGCACAGCACTTGCCAGGCATGTGCAAGGTCCTGGGTTCCACCTCTTCCACTGAAAAGAAAAAGTATACAAGAGGATGTACACAGG